CATAGGTGGAGTGGTGGAGAAGTAGTGAATTGTCAACATAATAGGAAATGATAAAACAATGAGAAGATTTATGAAAAGCAATAGAATAAAGAAAAAAGAGGGAAAAATAGTAATAATAATAATAATCATAATAATGTAACAACTTTAATCTAAAAAACTTACTGAATGAATTGTTCGGTGGTAATCCACATCTGCCAGCCATATTTTTGTTTTAAATTTACAATTTGACCAGGTAGCCCTTCTTGTGTGTTGTTTGCTATTTGCTTATGCAAGAATGAGTGTTGGGGCCCTGAAGGCCGGTTTTTAGTCAGTTGTTCTGATTAGATGACGTCAAGCGGTTTGATAGCGTGCATGTTTTGTGGGGTGTTAATTATGTGTCAGTTTGTATCAAGGACGAAACTTGAGGGGGGGGGGGAGTGGGGGAGTGTGACACCCCCCAAAGTACAAATCATCTGGATTGGCAGGGCAATGAAAGATTTTAAATGATAGAATGTAGAGTTATTAAGTAGCATCAAGGACTTCCAGAGGGAATTGGATAGAATTTATAGACCTAAATTTAACAGATATTGGTAAAGAAAATAAGGGTTTCATGCATGTTTTACCCCCACCCCCCCGCTCGCCAACATTTCTGGGAGAAATAGTGGCCAAAAAAAAATTTTACTGCAAGGCATCATCGGCTTTCGCAGGGCAATTCTAGCAGACACCGCCTCCCCCAATTAAAAGGGGCTAGTTTCGCCCCTGGTTTGTATGTGTAATTAGAGCGTGATATGCTGTAGGCTAAGGGCTAACTGATAACTAAGCTTAAGGAATGTTTAAAATTTTTCATTAGTCTGAAGTGTGAGTGCAATGTTAAGTTGTTCGATACAATGCATGACGATAATACTTAATGCTGCATAGTAATCATGCCTTAAATATTCGACAATATTCAATACTTAATGCTGTATAGTAATCATGCCTTAAATATTCGACAATAATCATGCCTTAAATATTCGACAATATTCAATATTCAATACTTAATGCTGTATAGTAATCATGCCTTAAATATTTGACAATATTCATGTTATCGTTATGAATGTGTCTTTCTGCCTGCTCTAAAAGAGCTGGTAAATCTAGCAAAAAAGCTTCCACAGAGTCTGCCATGTTTTCTGCATTATATTTGTACAAGTACAACATAAAGTGTTGCAACTTTTATACGTTAGAGACTGCTGACCGTTCTCTGCTGTACTTTTATTAAAGAAACTCTGATACATTTTTCCCTGCATTTTAACCATAAATATATGAACTTTTGATACATAAAGAAACTCTGATACATTTGTTTTTGCATTTTAACCATAAAAATATGAACTTTTGATACATAAATTTATTTTTTCTATACATATTATTACTGGTATTTTGTCACAAATGGCGCTTCATAATGTACTGTAGTTCTTCATACTGTCACGCGCGTGTAACTCGTGTCGTATGTGCTTTATTTATTAAAGTTAAAACGTAGTTGTGACATTCACCAAACGTTTATTTTGTTAATCTAGAGGCCAACTCTCATTCTCCTCTGATCCCAAAAGAGATTTAAGTTCCCCGTCCGATTATTATCATTATTGATTATTATTACAAAAATAACACCAATTCTGTGAGATTTGCGAAATACGTTTCTTACAATTTCAACTACAATACACATGTTTTTGCATTGTCTTGAAATGACAGAAGCCTGATTGATAAAGTCAAAATTTTTACACCTTTATGCAACGATTCATAATGTTTTTCTCGCATACATATTCCTTTAGTAACTGACTGAGAAAATTAATGTACTTTCCCAAACATCAAATAATGGAAACAAAAGTATTAATTAATAATGCAAAAATCACGCGGCTACGTGTTGGAGATTGACTGGACTGCAGAGTCGGTCAAGGTCACACTGGATCTTTTTAAGCCAGTGCATCTGGGGTATTAGTTTATAATATTTCTTGTACTTTATTAATCAGCATGTATTGGCACCTGCACTTATAGTTTTAATTAGTTTCTAATATTTGCGCACTCGAGAATAGAGATCTTGTTGAAAAGTGTTAAGCCGGTTTCATCAGGTGCAATTTTGCGCGCGGAGCGGAATTTTTCTTTGTCTTGTGATTTCTGGGTTGGAACTACATGTAATTAGAAAAGACAAAGAAAAATTCCGCTCCGTGCGCAAAATTCCGCCTAGTGCAAAGCCGGCTTTAGGAACGCAGGAGATGGGAAACTATAAAGTCTAATATAGAGGCATCTTGGCGTTGTTTATAGACATAATGTTATAACATTTACCAATTGAAAAGCGACTTTGCATTATTAATATAATAAATTAATAAATACCTCATCATCGCCATCTTCATAGCCTTCTGTGGCTGGCTCATCTGTGTCTGGTTCATATGTCTTTTCCTCGATTAGATCTTTAACTTCACCATAATATGGGAATGAAATACGTTGCGCATTTGCGCAAAACACCACGCAAGCGAAAAGCGTTATAACGGCGAGAGATCTCATGACTGGCTTCGATATATTTGATAATTTTCTTTGATAAAATGTTCTCATAGTCGCGTGTCGTGTTTCGTGGTACGCTGTACGAAAAAGACTCCATTGTTGGCATTGAGATTACTCTATTATTCAGATTAAAAATTCCATCTTTAAATTCAGTATTTGACTGACAAGAATTGAGTTTTTAATACAATTAAAATATTACTGCAAAATGTTTGCCGACTCTATCACCCTTTCTGTTTCTCAAATTCTGTGCCTTTTGAAATTGAATATTTCATCACCTTATCGGCACACCGAAATTTTGGAAAAAATTATTACATTTTTTACTTTATTAGCCAGCTAGCAGTCTCATAACATCGTCGCAAACCAAGTGATGGAACTGCACACAGGCTATTACTGTATCACAATACTTTACATAACGAACGCAATCATGTTATGTAAATTAGATGTAATTAGTAAATCCTCCCTGAGTTTTTGTGCCTTTTCGGTCAAGCACCATTTCCGCTTACGAGCAAACAAGTGAACGAAACCGTGACTTACATGCAAACTGCAAACCAAGGTATAAGATTCAATGTTGTACCAGAAGCTTATAACAAATAGTGTTCATTTTGCGTCATATGGCATTGTTAGTGTTCTCATGCTGCTTTCGGTAACTCGCTTTGTAATTATAGACTAAATCGCGAAAAGTTGTCATTTTTCCTCGCATTTTTCTCAGAGCCATTAATTTGACTATGAGGTAGTGCTAATGGTAGCAAAACGTCGGTTGATAGGGACTACTTGAAAATACAGGGAGAACTTCAAAGTTCTCCTTCAATTTTTTAGGTATAGTTGCATTCATATGACCGAAATTTTAGGTTATGATTAGTTTATCAACCACAAAATAGGAACAAAATATCCGTAAACGTGTTTCATTTACGCAAAGGAAATTTGTGGTTGTATGTATATTCATGTTCTAAAGTTTGTTCGTTCACTGCAACCAGGTGAATCATGTTTCGCTCGCTACTCTGGGTAAATTATATAGGTTAAAAAGTGGTTATGTTAGTGTTATGTTGAATATATTATGTGTGCGTGTGCGTCAGTTAAATTGTGGGCTGAGAGTTGTAATAAATATTTTTAACTGGTCTATAGCCGTGATTTTATAACATTTTACTAAATTTTTTTTACCCACGATGAACGAGATTTACTGTCCACGATACACGACACACGTTGAACAAGAGTGGAACTCGACCGGTATCAATGCTTTGATAAGGAAGTTATTAGTTCGTATCCTGCTGTCCACACGACCTGCAGAACAATGATATTGCATTTTTTTAATGTTTATATTTGATTATGATAAATGCTCTACCAGCATTTCATGAATGACTCGGCATTTTTTATTTTGCAATTTGACTCGTGCTACTAAGAGATTATTATTATTATTACAATATTGCTTTTCAGCAGGTAATTACAAATCATTTATATGCTACAAACAATATACAGGGTGTATCAAAAAAAACTGAACAGATTTAAAATTGCTCTCAATTTCGCAAAACAGCTATTTGTATCTGTTTTTTTATATATATAGCTTCTTTGGGTACTTATAATGTAAAATAATGAAAAAAAATTCTCGAACTCAAATTTTGTGAACCAGG